TGTAGGAGACTCTCGTGGTGACCCCCGCACCCCTGTCTTTGAGAGGTGTTCTCCCTTTCCCCTCTTGCCCTCTGTTGCTTCTGCTGCTGCCGCCGACCTCGTTGGTTTTGAGTCGGTCGGCGCTGCGTCTTCCCCTTCGGAGAAGCGCCGCGCAGGCAAGGGCAAGGGGGGCAAGGGCACTGGAGGAGGGGGCGGGGGCGGTGGAGGCGGTGGTGGAGGCGGCGGAGGGGGTGGGGGTGGTAGTGGGAGTGGTGGCAGGGGTGGGGGTGCTGGTGGCAGCAGTGGAGGCGGAGGCGGCGGCGGTGGTGGCGGAGGGAGCGGAGGCGGCGGTGGTGGCGGAGGCGGCGGCGGTGGCGGAGGCGGCGGAGGTGGCGGAGGTGGCGGTGGAGCTGGTCGCGGTTCTACGCAGAGGAGTGGCTCCGGTGGTGGTCCGCGCTAGCAGCAGCAGTGCGGTCGTGAGACCCTGTCCCCTCAGCAGCTCCGTGAGTGGTACACTGCACGCCAGCGGGGTGGGGGTACTGGTCCGTGCACCTACGTTCTGTGCACAGGCGACCGCGCAGGTGAGCAGTGTGGGGGTGCGCACCCCACCCAGCGCTGCTTTGGCCGCCTGACGGACGCGTGGCGTCACCAGTTCTCTGAGGCCACAGAGATCCCTCGCTGGGGCGAGCTGTCTAGGGCGGGAGTTGCTATCTTTGACCTTGACTTTGATGCTATTCTTTCTGCCATGTATGCTGTGACTATATGTGATGAGGGTGACTGTTACCGGTGTTCCCCGCCCCATCCGGGCATTGGGACTGCTGCTCTAGGTACTCGTGAGGCTGCTGCCCTAGGTGCTTGCGAGGCTGCTGCTCTAGGTGCTAGTGCGTCTGCGTCCTCAGGTGCTGGTGCGTCTGCTCTCTTAGGTACTGCGTCGGCTTCAGCCTCCCTCACCTTCACCCTTGCCTCTGGGGCTTCTCGCTCCTTCTTTCGAGACCGCACCACACTCACGCCGCTTGGTCGGCCGGTTGCGGTGTCTCTGGCTGACCCCTCTGGGGGCTCTGGCTCAGACAGAGCTTCGGCTCAGACTTTCCTGTTCTGCGTCTAACAGAGGCGGATAGTTCTCCTCTGGCCTTCTGCAAGCCTACTGTCGTGCACAAGGCATCCGTCAGACCTTCACGCTTCCGGACTCTCCGCAGCAAAATGGGATTGCTGAGCGCCGCATTGGCATGGTCATGGACGTCGCTCGTACGTCCATGATGCATGCGGCTGCCCCCCATTTTCTGTGGCCGTTTGCGGTGAGGTACGCGGCGCATCAGATCAACCTCCACCCCAGGGTCTCCAGGCCGGAGACCTCCCCAGCTTTGCTGTGGACGGGGAAGGTTGGCGATGCGTCTGCGTTCCGTGTCTGGGGATCTCGGGCGTTTGTCCGTGACTTGTCTGCGGACAAGCTGTATCCTCGTGCTGCTCCTTGCGTCTTCCTGGGTTTCCCCCCTGACGCGCCCGGGTGGCAGTTTTACCACCCCACCTCGCGCCGTGTTCTGTCCTCTCAGGACGTCACGTTTGACGAGTCGGTCCCCTACTACCGCCTCTTCCCCTACCGCACTCCGTCCCTTCCCCCGCTACCGCTCTTCCTTGTACCAGGTCCTCCCCCGGTAGACCCCCTCCCCCCTAAGGGTCTTGCCCCTTCAGGTGTGTCCCAGGTAGACGCAGTCGAGCCTGTCGAGGTTACTGGTGACTCTGGTGCTGCTGGGGGTGCTGAGCGTGTGGGTGCTACTCCTGGGGGTGCTGAGCCTGGGGGTGCTGAGCCTGGGGGTGCTGAGCCTGGGGGTACTGAGTCTGGGAGTGCTGAGCTTGGGGGTGTTGTGCCTGAGGGTGCTGAGCTTGGGGGTGCTGTGCCTGGGAGTGCTACGCCTGGAGGTGTGGAGCCTGAGGGAGCTGGACTTGTTCGTGTGGCGTCTGGTGGTGCTGGGCCTGGAGGTTCTCCGGGTGCTTTGTCTCGGCGGGAGCCACTCTCTCCACAGGAGCTGCGCGAGTGGTTTGCCCAGCGCTGGAGCCGTGCTACTGGAGCAGGAGGTTCTTCGGCTGCTGAGGGTGCTGGTGTCGCGGGTCCTGGACGTGCTCGTACTGGGAGAACTGGAGCTGCTGGGCCTGCGGGTTCGACTGGAGCTGGTGCTGCTAAGGGTGTTGGCGCTGAGACTACTGCTGGAGGTTCTGGAGCCACTTGAGCAGCTGCGGGTACCGGAGCTGGAGGTGCTGCTGGAGCGGGTGCTCCTGTTGGGGGTACAGGTGCTGTCCTTGCTGTGTCTGGAGTCGCCGCGCGGCCTCGACCGTACTTCGTTCCACTCCTTCAGCAGGTTCTTGGTCTTCCGCCTTTTACTGGTCCTCCTCCTCCCTGAGAGTGTCCACAGCCTGTCCCGTCACAGTTACAGTTACAGCCTGCCTCCCCTTTGCCTGCTCCTTCTCCCTACACTGGTCCTATTGGAGGTCTTGCTGAGCGTCGTGGGTCTGCGTCTCGCCCTGCGTCGCCTGTCCGTGCTGCTCGCACTAGTGGCCGTGGTTCGCGTCAGCGTCCTCCTCCTGTCCCTGGCACGCACCGGATATCTCTGCGTCCGTCCACTACTCCTCTGCGTGCCCCTTTGCCTTCTCCTCCTGAGTCCTCTCTTCCTGCTCTTGCCGACCCGGAGTCGGACTCTCTTCGTGCAACCAGTCCTACTGCCATGCGTCTCCTTGCTGCTGTCGTCACTGACCCTTCCTTTGAGTCGACTACTGCGTCTGCCCTCGTTGCTGAGCTCGTCGACTTTGCTGCTCGCTGTCGCCTAGACTACGCTGCTAGTCTTGTCGCTGAGTCTGAGTGAGTCTGTCCTCCGTTCGTTGGGGGTGAGTGTGCCCTTGGCACGGACGTCCTTGAGGACAGGCAGGAGGAGTTCCAGTGTCTGGCAGGTGCTTCACCTCATCTCGTATCCGTACTGCTTACCCCTGAGGGAGACCCGGATGCACTTGACATCCCGACTCCGCGCTCTTACGCGGAGGCGATAGAGGGTCCCTACTCTTCTCAGTGGCAGGTAGCTATGGACACAGAGATGGCTTCCTGGAAGTCCACAGGCACCTACGTTGACGAGGTTCCCCCGCCTGGGGCGAACATCGTCAGTGGCATGTGGATCTTCAGGGTGAAGCGGCCGCCGGGTTGTCCGCCTGTCTTCAAGGCACGGTACGTGGCTCGTGGCTTCAGACAGCGGCAGGGAGTTGACTACTTTCAGACCTTCTCTTCCACCCCGAAGATGACCACTCTTCGGGTACTGCTGCACGTTGCTGCTCACCGTGACTACGAGCTGCACTCTCTTGACTTCAGCACAGCTTTCTTGCAGGGCAGCCTACAAGAGGAGATCTGGCTGCGCAGCCCACCTGGCTTCACTGGGTCGTTCCCTCTTGGTACCCAGTGGAGTCTCCGGCCTCCAGTCTACGGTCTCCGCCAGGCGCCCCGTGAGTGGCACGACACACTGAGGACTACGCTTGCGGCTCTTGGGTTTGCTCCTTCTACTGCCGACCCGTCGCTGTTTCTGCGCACCGACACCTCTCTGCCGCCGTTCTACATCCTCGTGTACGTCGACGACTTGGTCTTTGCCACAGCTGACACTGCTGGACTCGCCTACGTGAAGTCCAAGCTGCAGAAGAGACACACGTGCACAGACCTGGGTGAAGTGCGCAGCTACCTTGGCTTGCACATCACCCGGGACAGAGCACGCCGCACCATTACCCTGACTCAGTCACACATGGTGCAGCAGGTCCTTCAGCGCTTCGGCTTCACGTACTCCTCGCCTCAGGCCACTCCTCTGCCTACTCGCCACTCGCTCTCAGCTCTGCCTTCGGATGAGTCCGTAGAGTCGAGTGGCCCGTATCCAGAGCTTGTTGGTTGCCTCATGTACCTGATGACCTGCACACGACCTGACCTTGCATACCCTCTTAGCATTCTCGCACGCTATGTTGCTCCTGGGAGACACCGACCAGAGCACATGGCTGCAGTGAAGAGGGTGTTGCGCTACTTGTGCAGTAAGTCGGGCATGGGGCTAGTGCTTGGAGGGCGGAGTCCAGTGGTCCTCACTGGGCACGCAGACGCTTCTTGGGCTGACGACCAGGCTACGCAGCGGTTGTCACAGGGTTACACCTTCAGCCTTGGTTACGGCTCTGTCTCGTGGCGAGCGACTCATTCGTCTTCTGTTCTCGGCTCTAGTTGTGAGGCTGAGATCTACGCTGGGGCCATGGCTGCACAGGAGCTTCGCTGGCTCACCTACCTGCTGACTGACCTCGGAGAGCCGCATCGTTCTCCTCCAGTTCTGTACGTAGATAACAAGGCCATGCTGGCCTTGTGTCGAGAGCAGCGACTGGAGCACAGAACAAAGCACATTGCTCTCCGCTACTTCCTTTCTCGTGAGCTACAGCAGCGTGGATAGTTGCGGCTGGCGTACGTGGCCTCTGAGGCCAACACTGCTGATGTCTTCACCAAGGCACTTCCGCCTTGTCATCATCAGCGCTTCTGCACTCAGCTGGGTCTTGTCCCTGTCTTGCCTCACTTGCTCACCTCTTGACCTTGCTTGTACTGTTACATATATATATACCTGCTCTTCCTTGTCTAGTCTTCTATATATATGTACTCCTGCATGTGAAATGGCCTTGTGGCCTTGAACTTGTGCTCGGAATGTGTGGTGACTTTGTGATCCACCCTGAGCTTGCTTCAAATCGCGGACAAACGCCCGAGATCCCCAGACCGGGAACGCCGACGCATCGCCAACCTTCCCCGTCCATAGCAAGGCTGGGGAGGTCTCCGGCCTGGAGACCCTGGGGTGAAGGTTGATCTGATGCGCCGCGTACCTCACCGCAAATGGCCACAGAAAATGGGGGGCAGCCGCATGCATCATGGACGTACGAGCGACGTCCATGACCATGCCAATGCAGTGCTCAGCAATCCCATTTTGCTGCGGAGAGTCCGGAAGCGTGAAGGTCTGACGGATGCCTCGTGCGCGACACTAGGCTCTCAGAAGGCCAGAGGAAAACTCTCCACCTCTGTCCGAGTGCAGACGCCGAACAGGAAAGTCCGAGCCAAAGCTCTGCCTAAGTTGGAGATGAGCTGCGCGGATCCAGTCGATCAGCACCTCAGTGACATCACCCTTGCTGCGCAAGGGCCAGACCGCGGTGTAACGCGAGTAGTTGTCAACAACGAGCAGGAAGTAGCGCTCGTGACCCTGTCCACGGACGCGGGCTGGGCCCCACACGTCCATGTGAAGCGTCTGCAGCGGGGCCTCTGTCGGATGAAACAGGGAGGAGTGAGGGGCAGCCTGCTGGCGCCCCTCGACATAGGGGACACAGGTAGGGCCAGGTCCCTGAGGAAGGGGAGGGAGGGACCGAGGGAGACCAGAAACAAGAAGACGGGAGGCCATGCCTCTGAGACGAAGCAGAGAGGGGTGACCAAGGCGGTGGTGCTAGAGGAGAGTCTCGTGAGACAGGAGACGACACGAACAGGGGGCAGACTCAGGACCAGACCTGAACGCTGCAGCAAACACCTGACCCGACGCAGCTACCCTACCAAACTCAGCAACTGGAGGAGACGTGGTGGTCAGTATGTACAGGCTCGACCCCGGCTGACGTGTAAACGTAGCCAAGTGTCGGCCTGTCCGAGACTCTGTGCAGTGCGTCACTCGCTGACGCGCAGGAGTGAGCTGGTGCACTCCCCCATCCTGTAGGTCAGCACCACTCACCAAGTTCGTAGAGAACGAGGGTAGGTAGAGACCAGACAGGGTGCCAGAGGGAGCCGCCGGACACGGGAGGACTGTGGAGAAGTGAGACAGGACAGGACCCCCAGAGGGGTCAGCCAGAGACACCGCAACTGGCCGACTAAGCGGCGTGAGTGTGGTGCGGTCCCGAAAGAAGGAGCGAGAAGCCCCAGGGTCAAGGGTGAAGGTGAGGGAGGCCGAAGCCGACGAAGTACCTGAGAGCGCAGACTCACCAGTACCTGAGGACGTAGACGCACTAGCACCTAGAGCAGCAGGGTCGCAAGCACCTAAGGCAGCAGCCTCACCAGTACCTAGAGCAGCAGTCTCAATGCCCAGATCGGGCGGGAAACACCGGTAACAGTCACCCTCATCACTAATAGTCACAGCATACATGGCAGAAAGAATAGCATCAAAATCAAGATCATAAATGGCAACTCCCGCCCTAGACAGCTCGCCCCAGCGAGGGATCTCTGTGGCCTCAGGGAGCTGGTGACGCCACGCGTTCGTCAGGCAGCCAAAGCAGCGCTGGGTGGGGTGCGCACCCCCACACTGCTCACCCGCACGGTCGCCGGTGCGCAGGACGTAGGTGCACGGACCAAAACCCCCACCCCGCTGGCGTGCAGTGTACCACTCACGGAGCTGCTGAGGGGACAGGGTCTCACGACCGCGCTGCTGCTGCTAGCGCGGACCACCACCGGAGCCACTCCTCTGCGTAGACCCGCGACCAGCTCCACCGCCACCACCGCCGCCTCTGCTCCCTCCGCCACCGCCGCCGCCTCCGCCTCCACTGCTGCCACCGGTACCCCCACCCCCTTCACCACTCCCACCACCACCCCCACTCCCTCTGCCGCCTCCAGCGCCGCCTCCACCGCCCCCGCCAGCTCCTCCAGCGCCCTTGCCCCCCTTGCCCTTGCCTGTGCGGCGCTTCCCCGAAGGGGCAGACGCAGCACCGACCGACTCAAAACCAACGAGGTCGGCCGCAGCAACAGAAGCAACAGAGGGCAAGAGGGGGGAGGGAGAACACCCCTCAAAGACAGGGGTGCGAAGGTCACCACGAGAGGCTCCTTTAGCGACTATGCTCTTCTCCGCCGCTAGGAGGGCCTTCTCGAGGAGGTCAACGGTGAGAGTGGTGGGGCACACTACGAGGAAGTGGTCCCTGACTACGCGAAGGGAGTCAGGGAGTCGAGTGACTATGTAGTAGAGGGTGATGTACATGGGGGGGGGGGGGGTTCTTGGCGCAAAACTCAGCAGGAAGCGCAGCGCGGTAGCGAGTGTCACTACTGCGGAGGTGCGTAATGAGGTCCGCAACTGTGGGAAAGGCAGCAAGGTCAGGGAAGAGGTACGGTAGCATGAGACGGCTCAGTGCAGCAGTGGCAGGGGAGGAGTAGCGTGCAACTACAGCGTCGTACAAGGTCTGAGCACTCTTGTACTGACTAAAGTGCGCACGTTCGGAGGTAGGGAGGTGGCGACGCACAGCAAGACGTGCAGCAGCGTCGCGCGTGGCCCACTGGGAGCGAACAGTGGCGTCAGCATCAGCAGCAGGTGCAGGAGAGGCGCCAGAGGTGAGGTCAAAGAGAGAGAGACCGTAAGCCCTATCGCACTGTAAGATCAGCTGCAGGTCGTCTACCCAAACGTCAAAGTCAATGGCTCGACCCTCAGCGTCAAAAGCGAGGACACTAGGGGTAGCCATGACCACAGTAGACTAGCAGTGCATAATAGTAGGGTGAGGGCAGTGTAGTAAAAGAGGCGCTGTGCTTACCGGACGGGGGAGCTCGGGCGGCTCGGCAGTAGGGCGGCTCGGCGACTCGGCGGCTCGGCTACTGGGCGGCTGGGCGGCTTGGCTGCAGTGCGGCTCGGCGGCCCGGCGGCTCGACTGTACGTCGGCTCGGCTGCTGGGCGGCTCGGCTACAGGGCGGCTCGGCTGCTTGGCTGCTGGGCGGCTCGGCTGTCCGGCTGCTCGGTTGCCCGGGCGGCTAGGTGGTGCTGCTGCAGGGCGGCGCAGCGGTTGGCTGCTCGGCTGGGTGAGGCGGCTCAGGCAGCTCGGGTGGCGGGCAGCGTTGCAACAGGGGACGGGGCCGCAGGTCAGGACGGCGGGGCCGGAAGTGAAAGCGGCGGGGCCGCAGGTGAGAGCGGCGGGGCCGCCGATGAGAGCGGCGGGGCTGTAGGTGAGAGTGGCGGGGCCGCAGGTGAGAGCGGCGGGGCCGCAGGTGAGAGCGACGGGGCCGCAGGTGAGGGCGACGGGGCCACAGTTGAGGGCGGCGGGGCCGCAGTTGAGGGCCGCGGGGCTGTAGATAAGGGTGGCGGGGCCGCAGTTGAGGGCGGTGGGGCCGCAGGTAAGGGCGGTGGGGCCGCAGGTAAGGGCGACGGGCCGCGGGAAGGGCGGCAGGCCGCAGGTGAGGGCGGCGGGGCCGTGAGAAGGGCGGCGATGGGCCGCTGCAAGGGCGGCGATGGGCCGCTGCAAGGGCGGTGACAGGCCGCTGCAAGGGCGGCGACGGGGTCGCTGGTGAAAGGGCGGCGGATCGGGGCCGCAAGGGCGGCTGATCGGGGCCGCGAGAGGCCGCTAGGGCGGCGCGACGCGGCCGTTAGGGCGGCGCGACGCGACCGTAAGGGCGGCGTGACGGGCCGCTAAGGGTGACGCGACGGGGCCGCTAAGAAGGGCGCGACCCTAGGCGCGCTTCGGGCAGGGGCAGCACGCGCCCCGGGCAGGAAAAAAAAATCGGTGGGCCTTAGGAACAGTTCCTACGAGGGAACCTGCTCGATACCATGAGGAAATGAGAACGAGAATGAATGAACTATGAATGAAGTGGGTACAAGTACTAACCCTAATTGGGTTGTACCCCCTATGGGATACCCCACTACAGCCTACACAAAAGGATAAGCTATAATGTTCTGACATCAAATTTACGGTTACGCATTTCCATCATGCTATGCTTTAATTTCACTACCGGTAGTACATGCATTATACTTATGTATTTGCATTTACTTCATCTACGCATAACAACATCAGACATATGCATCGCGGAATCAACAGTTACGCATTCACAGTACATCATTTTGGCAACTCATGAAATACAGGTTCAGTCAAAGCAAACTAGGAAATGAGAAGGAATGTGGTTCAGCACGTGGTAAATTGACGCGGCAAATACATAGCAGTCAGTCACTTAGCTAGTACCGTTCACTATATTTTTTTCCATTATTTTATTAAGTATGGAGGATTGAAAAAACAAATGTACATAACGATTGTAATAGGTTGTTTTGCAACCCAAAAAACAACAACAACAACAACAACAACAACAACAACAACAACAACAACAACAAAAACAACAAAAACAACAACAACAACAACAACAACAACAACAACAACAACAACAACAACAACAACAACAACAACAACAACAACAACAACAACAACAACAACAACAGCAGCAGCAGCAGCAGCAGCAGCAGCAGCAGCAGCAGCAGCAGCAGCAAAGCAGCAGCAGCAGCAAAACAGCAGCAGCAAAACAGCAGCAGCAAAATAGCAGCAGCAAAACAGCAGCAACAGCAGCAACAACAACAGCAACAGCAGCAGCAAGAGCAGCAACAGCAGCAACAACAGCAACAGCAACAACAACAGCAACAACAACAAACAAACAATGTTATGGTTGTGTCGACATTAACCTAGCAACACAGCAAATCAACCTCGAGCACAACACAAAGGCGGCTTGCTATCTCCGCAAGTTGACTTGCCAACATTGCAACTTGGCGGCTTGCCATCGTTGCACCATGGTCAACTTGTCAATGTTACAACTAGGTAGCTTGCCAGCATCGCAGTCGTCAGTGACTATGCGCGCGCATGTGTGCACCTACCTAGTGGGTGTAGGTAGACGGTTGCGTGCACATCGTGCACCGTCACGCACATTGCACAGGTGCCAGTTTGAGTACGTGAGATTGTTGTGCTAGATGCACCACGTCGACCACATAATGTCACCACAAAGGTCGACTTCGCGAAAAACCAAGTTCGCGCAACCCTCCAGAACTTCGACGATCAGGTTATTCGGTCGGCCAGAAGAAGCCGCGAAGTCGGCGTCCACGGATCAGCACCCGCAGGTCGGCTTCATGACCTAGTATGTTACACCGTTGTCTTGGCCTACAGATTATTAGGGACAAAGCAAAGCACACCATCATTCTCACTCAGTCACACATGGCGCATTAGATCATCCAGCGCTTCAGCCTATAGTTCTCCTTTGCATAGCCTTCTCCTCTGCCTATTGGTCACACCCCCTCGATCTCTGTCCCTGACGAGTCTATTGATCCCAGTCGTCAGTACGCACAGCTGGTGGGGTTCCTCATGTGCGTGATAACCAATATTCGCCCACTTCTTGTATATTCTCTCGGCATCCTTGCTCACTTGTTTGCAAAGAGTGTATTGCACTATCTGGCTAGGACGTCAGGCATGGGGCTTGTATTCGGAGGAGAACAGTCAGTTGCACTTACGGGACATACTGACGTGTCATGTGCAAACGACATCGAGTCTCTGTTAGGGCTACTCCTTATATGGGCTACTCCTTTAGTCTTGGTGGCACAGCTACCATGTGGAAATCTATTCGCTTATCGCCTGTGGCACAATCAAGCAATGAGGCAGTGATATTCGTTGGTGCTATGGCTGCTCAAGAGCTCCGCTGGCTGGCGTTCTTGCTCATTGACTTAGATTGGTCACCTAGCTCTGCCTTGGTACTGTTCACTAATAATAGGGCCATGATCCTTTTGTGTCAAAACGAAGCACATCTAGTTGTGGTACTTACTGCTGCAGCACGACCAGGCACGCGTAATACACTTAGCCTCGGATGCCAACACGACTCATATCTTCACCAAGGCACCCCCGCCTTGTGATCACCAGTGGCTCTACACACAGCTTGGCCTTGTTCCAGCAGGACCTCACTTGTTAGGATCCTGATCTTTGTATGATGTACTCGATTTGATTTTGTCAAATTATTCTAACTGAATGTACTTATTGTGAAATTATGCATGTATGTTGCTGTAGACTATACTGGGTTACAACAAAGAGGGGATAAATCACTAGGGTTTCATACTTGTATCCCCTTTGTCCCTAGTCACACTCATTCCTGCCTCATAATTCTAGCATGGTTTCAGACCACGTAGGTCCCTAGGACCGAGATTTTTTTTTGGGCCCACCGTTCATTCTACCCTGCTCGTTTTTCTATCCTGCCCCTAACGGCTGCGACCCGGCCGCCCGCTACAGCCGCCCTGCCCCACGCGTGTGGTCTTGCCCTGGCTTGCGCGCTGCCCTAGGCGCTACCCGAGCGCGCACCTGCCCATGCTGCCCGCGACCTGTCCGCGCGCCCTACAGCCTGCGTGCGCCCTGCTGTCCGCGTGCACCCTGCTTCCCTGCGCCCCCCGCGCGCTCTACACGCCGCGCCCCGCGCACCTCTGCTGCCCTGCGCCCCGCGTGCGCCCTGCAGCCCGCACGCTCTGCAGCCCGCACGCCCTACAGCCCACGCGCCCTATGCGCCCGCACGCCTTGCAGCCCGCGTCGCCAGCGCGCTGCTGCCCGTGTCGTCAGCACGCCCTGTGCGCCCTGCTGCCCGCGTCGCCAGCGCGCCCTGCTGCCCGCGTCGCAAACGCGCCCTGCTGCCCGCGTAGCCAGCGCGCCCTGCTGTCCGCGTCGCCTGCGCGCCCTGCTGCCCGCGTCGCCAACGAGCCCTGCTGCTCTGCGCCCCGCGTGCGCCCTGCTGCCCATGCGCCCTGAGCGCCCTACTGCCGCGCACCCTGCGTCCTGTGCTAGCGCGCGCGCCCTGCGTGCCCTGCTGCTAGTGCGCGCCCTGCTGCTAGCGCGCCCTGCTGCCCGCGCGTGCTCTGCTGCCCACGCACCCTACTGTCAGAACATATAGCTTACTTATTTCTGTAGGCTATAGTGGGGTATCCCATAGGGGGTACAACCCAATTAGGGTTTCCTATTTGTACCCACTTCTTTTTCATAGTCATCCACTTCTCGTTCGTACTTTCTCATGGAATCAGAGCAGGTCCCTTCCTAGGGCCTGTTCCTAGGGCCCACCGAAGCGCGCCCCGAGGCGCGCATTTTTTTTAGCGACCCTCCGAGTCGCCCCTCCCGTCGTGCTCCCGCTTAGGCCCCTCGTCGGCCCCCCGCTTAGGCCCCTCGTCGGCCCCCCGCTTAGGCCCCTCGTCGGCCCCGCTTAGGCCCCTCGTCGGCCCCGCTTAGGCCCCTCGTCGGCCCCGCTTAGGCCCCTCGTCGGCCCCTGCTTAGGCCCCTCGTCGGCCCCGCGTACCCCTCGTCGGCCCCGCGTAGGCCCCGCGTACCCCTCGTCGGCCCCGCGTACCCCTCGTCGGCCCCGCGTAGGCCCCGCGTACCCCTCGTCGGCCCCACGTAGGCCCCGCGTAGGCCCCGCGTACCCCTCGTCGGCCCCGCGTAGGCCCCGCGTACCCCTCGTCGGCCCCGCGTACCCCTCGTCGACCCCGCGTACACCTCGTCGGCCCCGCGTACACCTCGTCGGCCCCGCGTACACCTCGTCGGCCCCGCGTACCCCTCGTCGACCCCGCGTACACCTCGTCGACCCCGCGTACACCTCGTCGGCCCCGCGTACACCTCGTCGGCCCCGCGTACACCTCGTCGGCCCCGCGTACACCTCGTCGGCCCCGCGTACACCTCGTCGGCCCCGCGTAGGCCCCGCC